TGTGACGTCATGCTTCCAATGTTCTGAACTCCTGCCAGCTTCATCCAAGGCACGTGTTGGCTGTCCTCACAACACGTGACTGTGCGCTGCTACACAGCTAGCCAACTGTTGGAAGAAAACTCCGTACACAAGGCTTTCTGTTCTTGTATTTATGGAGATTTCTTGTAGTCAAACGTGACAATTAGTAACTGTAACGTACAGAAAAATGCATTTGCCATCTATGTCGTACATGTGACATGCTAAACACAAACAGCTAGCTAACACACATGAAACACGTCAGAAACCGCTCATGGAAACATCGAGTTTGCAAACTTATACAAAGTGATGGTTCAAGACATTTGTGGCCTTTATATCAGTGATTTATACACATAATGCTCACAAAGACGAAAACGTCCCAAGGCTCAGACGTTTCAGAACCAACACAGCGAATATAAATGAGGTTTTTCAGACTTGGTTTCTGCCGGCTTGTTTTTCACCGACAGGAAAACCGTCAAAGATTGTTTATGGTCGAGATGAGCCACTCCCTCTAATGTCACCAAAACCATCCTTTATGAAGATGTCTCACTCTGATAACTTTTTAACCATAACAGTTTTTACCATGAAATTAACTTATTTATTTATACACTATGAACTTATTTGTAACCCTTTTCACTAATTTATCACTCTTGTGACATTATTCATGTCTTTGACCCAAACACATGACACACGGTGTCTCCAACATGCAAACGTGTGGTTGTAAACAGCAGACAAACGTAGAGCTATTTGCTATAAATCAGCTGAATCAGTAATAATCTTGTAACATTTTCATTTCTTATCTGTGTCGTAATTATCTTTGTCATATTTTTTCTGTGTATTTGTCTGCATTGCTAACTAACTGCAGCCTCACAGCATCATTTTGTACCATGAATCTATGCATGAAAATGTCTCAGTCTTTATGATTTATTTATTTTTTATTTTTAACAAAGTGACCAAGATAATTCAATCTGTTCCTCGTGCAGTTTTCTTTGTTTCAGGAGAGAGCGTCCATGTCTTGTATTGTCGTAAGCAGCAGATAAGATAACGGCTCCTAAGACATGCGAAGATTTTGAATTTGTTTTAACTCAGTCTTTTGTGCTTTTACATACAAAGTACAGTTAGCATTCACAGCTTTTGTTCTCATAAAGCCACAACTAAAAACATAACAGATGAACTGTAAGGCGTAAGACAGAAGAGAAAACAAAAGGTAAAAACGGTTCCTGTTGCTTGCAAATCAAGTTAGTTGTTTGAGATAGGTTTAACATCGTAGCTGACATGACTAAGACAGACAGTCGAAGGATGCTGGACTTCTTTTATCTTTGCTTCTTGAAGACGTTTCACCTCCCATCCAAGAGGCTTCTTCAGCTCTGCAGGCCTCCTGGATGAGAAGTGAAACATCTTCGATTACTATCATTACCGCGACCCGGATGACCGAGAATGTCCACAGACGCACGACTAAGCCAGATGTTGTTTGCACAGTAGCTCGCATGAAATCAGTTGTGAGCCAGTAAAGCTCTGAGCTAATTGCAAAAGTTCCTAAAACTCTGTTAATCCTACAGTTTGAAAACAAGTTCATGTCGTCGGCTCAGTGGTTGGATTCTGGTTTTCATTTAAATACTTTCCACTGGAGGGCAGCAGGCCCTGATGTACAAAGCACACTGAATCTATAACTTAAATCAGGCATCTGTCAGTGTGCAGACATCAAAATAATAAATGCTGATGATCATGTGGCACCAGTGTGAGACATTTCTCACAGTTCTCTCATCTGTTTGTCCTGTTGACATGTTCACTGCCTCTGTTGATTACCCGTCTTGTCTATATGGCTCCTTTGACTCATCAGACTCTCTGTCTGTTGTTTTACGACTCCTCCAGCCGAGGGTCTTGACAAATCTGTCTGGCTGTTCTGTAAACAGGCCGAGCCTTAGTCCGGGGAGGGCCGGCGAGGTGCTCACGATGGGATTAGCTGAGGCTCTGGAGTCTTATTGTGTTGTGGCCTTTTAAAAGGCTTTCTAAAAACGCTCTGTAAGGGGATCTCAGGTAGCCTCTTGTGATCTTGCTTGTTGATTCAGTTTGTGTTGTTTGCTCTGTTAACAGCTGATTGTTTAAAAATTGCAAAACAACTGCTTGTTAATTTTTTT